CTAATAAAACTAAACAACTGCTTTCCTGGATATTACAGAATGATAATATTATACGGTATGCCAAGCAATTTCTAACTGTTCCAACCAGGTGAAAGTTTCACAGATCATTTCGCTACTTTGTCATCCAATTTTAAATGTTGCGATTGTCCTCTGGGTCTAGTAGTGTTGTAAGTAATTACTGAGAGAATTTCCAGTACGGAGATGAGCCTCGTAAGCCTCCAGCCAAATCAAACCTTTCATGGTCACTTGGTATAGCGTGTTGTCATCTGTCCACTCTGCTGGCTTGTAATGACAAATCTGCGTGCAGCCATCTTTGCTTCCCCAAGTGTGGTCGTCATCGTTTGGAAAATTCATCACGGTCCCGTTACGTTTCACCAAGCAATGGGAAGGGTTGCAAACGACCATTTGAGGGCATGCATTAGGGAAGTCGACTGGAATATAAATCCTCAAGGTGTACTCTCTGTTACTGGAGCATGTTACTCTAATTTCAACTCTGGTGTTACCAGTAGGATCGATCCAAGTCGCACGGTTTCCGCNATCAAGCAATGGGAAGGGTTGGAAACGACCATTTGAGGGCAGGAATTAGGGAAGTCGACTGGAATGTAAATCCTCAAAGTGTACTCTCTGTTGTTGGAGCATGTTACTCTAATTTCAACTTTGGTGTTACCAGTAGGATCGATCCAAGTCGCACGGTTTCCGCGAAAATACTGCTCAAGCAACTGTTTCTCGTATCCAAGCCTCGTTTGTTGAGATGCTGACCACGGCATGATGCGAATATTGTACTGAACGCTTCGGTGAGAGCGACGGAGAACACAGTACTGAATGCTTCGGTGAGAGCGACGGTGATATGAGAGCTCCTACACTGGTTTTGGTTTCCACGGAAAACTAATTTCCCGGAAAAAAACAAAAGCACATGCGTTTACGGTGTTACCTTGCAATCCTAGCAACTGGCTAGGGTCAAAAGTATTCTTCAATGCGTAACGGAAGACAGAGATAATAAGGGTGTGTAATGATTGAGCTAAGTGATACATGAATCCGATATATAAACAATCTGGCTAAAACGCCTCCCATAAACAAGCGACATCTTTCCACATGCCATCTTTTGACATGCTATGTAACCCGGGCCTACGTCAAAAATGTGAGAGAAACGGTCGAATGATGTCGCGTATGCACGTAACACTGAGAGCGGGTGTAAGTCCGTTTTCCATCTATCAGTGCAGCTTCAATTAGCTAAAA